CTGACAGTTAGACTTGAACCACTGATTGTTTTGAGCCTGATGGTCCAGAAGCTTTTCATCCACACTGTAGTTCATATCCTCGGTCCAGCTACGAGGCTACTGTGGGACACACTGTTGGAAGCCTTGCTGTGCTCAGGGTGAATGGCATGCGCTGTTTCCCCTCCGCCACAGAGCCAGTCATTGCCTCTTGAATGGTCAGGCAGAATGCGCCCTTGGTAAATTGGCATTGGCTGGTTGTTCGCTGTCACTTCGTATTTCATGTGCCTGGAACAGCTTCAGTAACGGCTTATTCTGTAATTTTCCTGGGGACTGAGGTGAGGCTGACCAGCCTCTAGCCTCTCAGATCCTCTTTTTTGCCTTTTTGAAGGTGGCAGTATCATTTGCCTTTTTCCAGTCAAAAAGAGTTCCCTGATCACTGTGACCTTTCAAAGATGCCAGCCGCCTTACAGTGACTTTAGCCAGTTGCCTTTACAGTTGCTCAGGAATCCATTTTCTAACCTTTTTTTCCCTTGATATTTCTGGCAGGTAGAATTGGGAGAGGTGGGCTACATTAATATTCATTCTGCTCTGGATCCATGCTAATGAACTATGTAGGATTCTGTTTTTAATTAAAGAAAATAAACCTTGCTTCATTCTTGTCTAAAAATGTTCATAAGATGAATTTGCATAACCAGCATTTTAGTATGCAGCTTCCCTAGTTCTGCCCTGGTACATAAAGCTGTGGTTTTCTCTCAGTAAAATGTAGCAATTCGCTCTTGTGAGTTATTAATAAAATTACTTTCACTTGGGTATGCTTTTTTTTTTCTTGTGCTGATATTAAGGACACATTGAACAACAGTGTTAGTGTAATTGTTAATCAGCTTTTATTCCTTGTGCTGCTACTGACTTGTTCTGTAACACAGGACAAGTCATTAACTGTGTGCCTCAGTTTCTTTAGCTGCGAGATGGAGAAGAGTAGACTTTAGACACGCTGGTCCAGTTTTCAATAAATGCCTTGCGGTTACACAGGACATGCAGCTCCTCAGCAATGGGCACAGCAGCATTTTGGTATGGATTTGCTCTTTACAATGACAAATTATGTCAGCTGGGCAGATATACTGCTTGCTCCAGCTCTTAGCGGATGAGGAGGAGGGCATGGGCTCTGCACTGGTTGCAGCTTGTGTGCTGATTTCAGCTAGATACAGTGCAAATTCCTGTCTTGCAGTTTTCTGAATAAACACAACTGCAGAAAGAAGACCAAACTGGGGCTTACGCGAATTTTCCTAAGGTAGCAGATGGTAGATCTGAACTTTCTCACTGTTCTTCCTTACGGGTGTGTGACAGGGCCCTTCTTCAGCAGGCAACAATGTTTTCCTCATTTTGTAGCAGCATTACTTTTAAACATTTCTAGGTGCTTTATTTCTTTAAAAGTGTTTCTGAAAACGAAGTTGCAATTTTGAAATGAAACTGTACTAGCTTTTATCTTAAAAGTTGGAAAAGGTGGGTAAAAAAGGCACATGTTTCCTGCCCTAGGGTCTTGGGTTGCAAGCTGGATGAGATGCCAGTGGAGGCTTAATTTGTGGGAAGGGGTGCAGGCACAACCCACACCTGCAAAATACAACCCCCCCAGCACTCCATTCGGCCTGTACTGGCTTTTGGGCAGCAGTTCATAAGCCTGGCTGAAAAATCAGTGCTAGTAGCAAATACAAAGTTCAACTACGGTCAGACACACATCGGGTAGGCTTGCGTGGATGCTGTGCCGTGCCGCACCGTGTGCCACTTGCCTGGAAGCAGCACTCGAGTGTCCTCTTGTACAGCACACTGGGGCATCCTGGCCCCAGTATAAACTTTGGGGATTTTTTCAAGCACAGCTACAGGAATAAATGACAGTTACTGCCTGCGGCAAGTTTTATTTCTTTGACTTATACGCCACAGAAAATTGTGTTTCCGAATGTAAAGTAAAATGACTGCTTTCTCCTGGTGCTGCTATCAGTCCCTGGTATCCAATCTAATTCATCCTCCTTCTGCTTTTGTTTTCCTTTTTTTTTAACGGAAGTCAACATGAGACAGTTCATTCCTCCTATGGGCCTCTCCATTTTGCGCTCTCTCTCTGCAAAAGGAGAAGCGGAGGTAGGAGCGTGGGCTCTCAGGAACCCCATTTACTGCACAGCTATCCCGTAACAGGCTGGAGGAGTGACTGGGAAGAGAGAGCAGGTAGCACGCTCTCCTCGGGAGAGATTTGCAGTTTGGAGGCAGTGATGAGGGATGGACGGTAAAGCGGCTGCCCGCAGCGATTGCTTTTAACAGCTCGCTGATGTAGGATGTGACCTGGGAAGCAGGACTGAACCACCTTGTTTTGTTGCCTCTCTGGAGGTATATATACACCTGGTACAGCTCCCATCTCCTGGCTGTCAAGAATAACACACGATCACACCACTGACGATCGTTCATCATTTTCATAGCACAATGCATTCTGCTGCTGAGAGGTGGCGGGAGCTGTGGGGGTCTTACTGTCAACGCTTTTGAGTCCATGCCCTTTAGTGCTATAGATGTCTTTGAAAGGGTGAAAGCTTTGCTCTCCGAAAGTGTTTTTTGTCAGCCAGGAAAAAAGCAATTTGGGGCTGGTATAAAGATTCTACACCTGTGAAGAGATTACATAGAGATTACACTGGGAGGAAACAGCTGGGCAGAAAAAAATGTTCATATTAATAGAAAACACTCCAGAGAGCGGAGAGGAGGGAGGGAGAACACACCATTCCTTCAGATGAAAAATGCAGTTTATTTTCATGGTGATTTTTTGTGTTTGTTTTTTTTCTTCTTTTTTTTTCACATACCACATATCTAAAAGTGCAAAGTGAAATCGATTTTTGGTCCAAAAACATGAGTCTGTTTTACTGCAGCTAGTGGAAAATCTTGGTGCATTGATGTAGTATGAAAATTTATGTAAGTGGTTCCAGCAACATCACGTTGGCAGCATTAACTCAGGCAAGGGGGATATTTCAACTCCTTGAGGATTAGAGTTTAAAAAAAAAAAAAAGTAGGAGAAATGGTATGGAATTGAGGGGTTTTAAGACAGCTTTTTTGGTACCTACGTATTATTTTCCAATTTAATCCAAACTTTTCCCAAGTGGCGTATACCTCAGTTTCTCATGACCAGCTTAAGAGAGCAGTGGCCTTGTTTTCTGCAAGTAAACCATAAAAAAAGCCGTGGATGGTCAGTGGGATTTTTAATAAACTAGTTGGGTAACCAGATGGCTGCAAAATCTGTGATGCTGCCCTCCCTTGTTATGTGTCCTGGGGCAAGTACCTTTGGCTGGATATCTTAATGCAAAGACATTTCACAGCCGGTTAGTAGTTAACTAGTAACATCCACACCAGGCACTTAGGGGTGCCTACAAATGGGTGAAGGGAAATGCTGACGGTGAGGGGTGTCTCGCCCTGGGCTCCCGAGGGCAGGGGCTGCGCTGCTTCCCGGCAGCTGCAGGAGCCAGTAGCAGCTGCCTGTCCTGGTTGCTGAACTTGACAAGTATAAAATCTTCACACACTCAGAGCAGCAGGTCCTACTGGCAGAACAGGCACTCTCGTGCCTGGTTTCTGACTCCAGGATTTAGCCTGAACTAGGAACGTACGAGAAGGGATGGTTTCCTGACAAAGGCAATCATTCAATACAGCCGACAGACGCCACTGCGCATAAAGACTGAGGTGGCAGCTGAGCACTGCTTTGAAGAATATCCCTAGTAGCCAAATCGTGGATTTAGGTATTTGGCCAGGCAGAGGCTGTGGACCTGACCTGTGCTATGCTCGAAAATTACATCACCTGTTTGGGAGTCTTCCCTGTGAAAATGATAGAAATTCTCAGGTTCCCTTCCCTCTCCCCAAAACAGGGTCACTGCCAGTTGTCTTCTATTTCCTGAAGCCAAATAAACATATCAACTCATTGGGGGACGAATTAGTGTTACAACTTAAATATTCCTGGCTCAAAGATCCAGATTTGATCTGATTTGCTGCACTTACTGTGACTTTACAGCTTGATTCCCAAAACATTTTGTGTGTTTGCAAAAATGTACTCTGCTATACCTACCGTTTGAAAAACATATTTTTTATGCGACTGAGGCACTAGCTCTCGTTTTTTATTAATTGTACAAATACCCAGATAAGACAAGAAGCAAAATTTTGAAAACCAAAATGCTTGGGGAAAGATTCAGCAGTGAAAGGGCTCTGCATCTCTTTCAGTGCTGGCTTCCCCCACTGCAGTTCTCTCTGGGACACCTGCGCTAATTTTGAAAAGTGCCCCTCCGTTTCATTGCCTTCTATGCTGCTTCTCAGGGTACTGATTAATAACTGTTGTGCCTGTCAATGAGCCACATCAGCTGGTAGAGAATCGGGCTGGGTATGCTCCGTGCCCCTGTGGTGCTCCGGGATCGCCTTTGTTTGCGGACACATTCCTGAGCAGCCAAGCCGAGCTCGAGGCTGTGGTTTCCCCTGTGATCACAGGCATTTGAGCCTGGAGAATCTGATTTGGGTCCACCCTCAGGCTTATTTTTTTTCCCACATGATTCAGACAACTTCAAGCTGACCTGCTGTTGGTGGGAAAGCGGGAAGCTATTCTTGGTGATGCTGTAGCGAGGGGACACAAAGCGGTGGCCGGGTTATGCACAGGGTGCTACCACAGCCCCGGGCTGGGCTGGGGCTCAATCCTGCTGCCTGCCGCTGGAGTGTGTGCCAGCATCTGAAGTACTTGCCACACCCTTCACTGCAAATAGTAGATTTTTTTTTTTATAAACAGCTCTAGTAATTCTATTCTGCAGCTTTTTACTTCAGTATTTTCAGTTTAGTACTGACAGTTTTGACAGTTTTTCAAAGCCAGAGAGGAACCTTCTCCCTCCTTCCTTGCCTGCCTCAAGCAAGTAACATCCCATTTTTTCCCTCTTTGTGGGCAAATTACAAGCCACTGTTGCTGGCTTTCAGA